GGGGTGGGCGCTTTGCCGAATGTGACCCCAAATATAAAAATTGCGCAAAAGTGGGGGTGGGCGCTTGCCCGGGCATGGGCGCTTGCCCGGGCATGGGCGCTAACGCGGTCGAGTACGGTATGTTATTTCTACTTTGTTGCATTTTTATACATGTATTATTAAACTTAAAAACACACTTTATAATTTGCTCTTTAATTAAACTTCAATTAAATCGCAAAAGAGTCCTGTTTTAATCCAAACATAACGCAACTGTACTAAGAGTTAATTCACTATATTGATAGTTAATCCATTTGAGTCCTCAGAACATAGCAATACAAGTATGTGTATGTGTATGTGTGTGTGAGTGTGTGCGCATACTCCAAGTGTGTACAATTACTGGTATGCAACTTGTGGTACTATTACTGATTTGGTATTGTAAATTTGCATGCTTGAAAAAAAAAACATATTTTAATGGGAATAAATGGTAAAGTTCAAAATAACAGATGAAGTGTAACTGAAAATTCACTTCCATGTTAGAATAATCTCAGAGTCCCAATTATTTATCATTTAAATTAATCACTTGAATTAGATGAATATATTTACATAAACATACATACTATTTTTGTAATGTTTAGTGAGGAAGAGACTTATTATATGTACCGGTAAGTTTAAGAGGTGTAACACATTTATACATAAACTTACAGTATACTATATAATTTGCACAGGGAAGGTAGATAGGTTGGGATCTGTATAATTTTGTTCGTCCCTGCATGGTACTCTCCCTGTTATAAATGTCTTTGTGTGTTATACTGCACACAATAACAAGTCTTGACATGAAAACAATTTCAATATGACCAAAATACATAGTACATGTACTTCAAAGTTTGGATATTAATATGATATAATTTGTAACAGTATGTTGTGTTAATAAGGCAAGGTGTGTAAACATGAGAGAGAGCCACCGATGTATCTCAACACATTGTGAATGCAGTGAGCAATTTTATAAGAATTCTTACTGATAGAATGGCCTTTACACTTGAACTCAACATATTTACTAGACGCTGGTTGGCCGCATTCCCCGTGCATTAATTTGCATGCTTTAAACGTGCTGTCCCAAGTGCCGTCTCTGGTGCAGGTTATAATGTTAGCCTGAAATGAAAGAAAATTATTGAAACACATGGATTGTAACGATGTAACCATATCAGTACAATGACACATACCTGGGACATGGATTGTAACGATGCAAACATAGTAACACAATCACACATACCTGGGACATGGATTGTAACGATGCAAACATAGTAACACAATCACACATACCTGGGACATGGATTGTAACAATGCAAACATAGTAACACAATCACACATACCTGGGACATGGATTGTAATGATGTAAACATAGCAACACAATCACACATACCTGGGACATGGATTGTAACGATGCAAACATAGTAACACAATCACACATACCTGGGACATGGATTGTAACGATGTAAACATAGTAAAAT